ATTATTTATATATCTGCATTAACTAGCAAGGTCTGCCAAAGCCATTTAATGTAACATTCAAACAGGGATAACACCAGCATTTTTAATGCACTGGAAGAGTTAACAAGTGTCTAATCACAAATCACATTGCCTTCTGAAAAATCACAAATCACTAATCGCAAATCACATTTCCTTATGAAAAATTCCCAGACACAGAGCCTCCCATTTGTACCCTCCATCCCATAACTCCTCTATAAAACAGTGCTAATTCATTTTGCCATTAAAACACATTTGTTCATTGTAAAACTCCTCATTTTTTATCTCTGCTGCCCTTTGTTAGTGTCTTTAAACTCTTACTCCTTAATTTAAACTCTGATGCCCAAGCACACATTTCATTCTAAAAGCACCTGAACTGACAGGTAGCAGAGAAGTTGTGTGAGATCCTGGAGACACCACATGGAGCAGGGAACTGGGAACAGCGTTCAGTGGCACCTCAAGGGATGAAAGATGCCGTGCACGTTTGGGGAAGCACTGCTGGATCAGCAAGAGAGAAGGGATGTGGCTCTGTGGAAAGCAGGAAAGAGCCATCCAGCACAGCAGGATAAGCAGGGACAGACATGGGGGTTATTCCTGCTTCCAGGAGGAAGTTAAAGAAGAGATGCTGGGGGACTGAAGGCACCAGGAGCACAGGAGGAGGCCTGGAGGGTTAAAGCACAGCACAGCTGGGCAAAGGTGGGGAAAAGCTGCTGGAATTCTGAGCAAGTTACTGCCAGGCAGAACTGCCCTGAGCCCCTGCCCTGCCTACACAGAGTGCAGTGCAGACTGACCCCCACCAGGGAACTCAGAGGTGCATGTTAAAGGACACACCCAACTCAAATAAATTCAAATGCCTGCCATTAAATGGCTTGGACAGGTAATTTGTACTGGCAGGGAAAGCACATTGATGGGGGAAACACGTGAGGAGTGTGGAGAGAGACCCAGAGAAACCAGAAATACTTCTGAAGGGAGACTACAAAGAGCTGGAGAGGGAATCTGGAAAAGGGATGGAGAGACAGGACACAGGGAATGGTTTCCCACTGCCAGAGGGCAGGGAGAGACGGGAGATTAGGAGGGATTCCTCCCTGGGAGGGTGGGCAGGCCCTGGCACAGGTTGGGCAGAGAAGCTGTGGCTGCCCCTGGATCCCTGGAAGTGTCCCAGGCCAGGTTGGACGGGGCTTGGAGCAACCTGGGCTGGTGGGAGGTGTCCCTGCCCATGGCAGAGGGGGGAGGGATTAAATGAGCATTACAGTTGCTTCCCACCCCCACCATCCTAAAATTCCAGGATTCAGTGGGAAGGAGATGGGCATTAACACGTGTCTTGGACACTGTGAAGAACAGGACTATTGCAAGTGGATTTTGGCTCGTGGTATTGAAGGACAAGGTCTAACATCAACAACGGATGAGCAACCAGGGAAGACATCAGGAAGTAACCAAACCTCTCTTAATTCCCTTTCCCACTCAGAGTTAACATGGAAATATTATTCTCTGGTAACATCTCCCATTCCATGGTGAGGAAAAGGCTCTCAGGCTGAGAAGTTCCTGAAGTACAAGGGGCTGTTTCTCTAATACAGACTCAGCAGCTTTCAAATGTTCTCTCTGCAGAAGAGACACAATCTCCTGGAGCCACAGCTGTGGGAAGCTCTGGGAAAAGGAATGATGATCCCAGGGCCATCATTTTGTGATACCCAGGACCGTTTAACTGCTGCTGGAAATAACTAAACTAAGGGAGAAAATGAAATATATTCTGTATTTACTTCAAGAAACATGAAAAGAATGAAGTTCACAGCAAGGTAAAGATCTCAGCTGTCCTATTTTGTTTCTCTCTTTACAAGAGCTTTCCCAAAGGAACAAGTTGGCACTCCCTCTGCCTGTGGAAAAAGACTTTATTACAGGGAATCTGAGATGGTTTGGGTGGGAAGGGACCTTAAATCCCATCCAGTGCCACCCCCTGCCATGGGCAGGGACACCTCCCATCAACCCAGGTTGCTCCAAGCCCCGTCCAACCTGGCCTGGGACACTTCCAGGGATCCAGGGGCAGCCACAGCTTCTCTGCCCAACCTGTGCCAGGGCCTGCCCACCCTCACAGGGAAGGATTCCTTCCCAGTATCCCATCTAACCCTGCCCTCTGGCAGTGGGAAGCCATTCCCCTTGTCCTGGCACTCCAGGTCCTTGTAAATAGTCTCTCTCCATCTTTCCTGTTGGCTCCTTCAGGTCCTGGAAGGTCACAGTCAGGTCACCCCAAAGCTTCTCTTCTCCAGGCTGGACAATCCAGGCTCTCTCGGCCTTTCCTGATGGCAGAGCTGCTCCATCCCTCTGATCATCCTGGGGCCTCCTCTGGACTGTCTCCAGCAGCTCCACGTCCTTGTGCTGCTGTTCCCCAGGGCTGGGGGCAGCTCTGCAGGGGGGGCTCAGCTGAGGGGGCAGAGGGGCAGGATCCCCCCAGCCCTGCTGCCCACGATCCCTGCGGGACCAGCCCAGGGCATGCCCAGGATTGGTGTTCAAAAAGTTCATCCTCTTCAAGCCTCAGCTTCCACTTCTATCTGAGCAAAGCTCAGCTGCAAATTCAGAACTCCAGTCTCAGCTGCCCCCTTTCACTTTTTAATACATATTGACTTTATATCAGAGCAGAGTTCAGGTTTGAGTTATTCTTGAGTTAAACCAAAGTTCCCAAAGCCAAAAGTGTCTCCTCACAGGACACAAAAATGTCCTTGCAAAGGAGATCCTGGTGCCATCAGACCCTGGGCTCCTGCTGACATTGTTCATGCATCAGGAAAACCCCCAAACTCCTCCCCTGCAATCTGACAGAGGGGCAGCTCCTGAGCAATTTGCCCAAACCTTTACACCAATGCCATTCCCTCTGCTGGATTCCCAGCAGAAAGAAAAAAAAAAGGCAAAACTCCCCATATGATTTTGAATCTCCTGTAAAATCCAGGACTGGAAACAGAACTGGGGACGTGTTTTCAATCAGAACAGGCCTGTGTGTCTGAGGCTCTTTCCTCATCCTCTACATCCTCCTGACCAGGGCTCTGCAGGAGACACCCCCAGCAGGGATGTCCATGTGGATCTCTCACTCATCCCGACTCAAACTCCATCTGGCTCCTCATCCAGCCCCAGGCAGAGCTCCAGGGCAACTCCCCCTGCCTGCCTGTCCCTGCCAGAGTAACCCCAGCAATCCAGCTGTGCCAGCTCTCCCACCATGTCCTCTCCAGAGGAATCAGACCCCAGAGTCCTCCTTCTGGGGCACCCAGTCAGGCTGAATCCCCAGGAAAGCCTGCTGAGCTCTTGGCATTGCCCAAGGAAGCTGTGGCTGCCCCTGGATCCCTGGAAGTGTTCCAGGACAGGTTGCATGGGGCTTGGAGCAACCTGGAATAGTGGGAGTGTCCCTGCCCATGGCAGGGGGAGGGACTGGATGAGCTTTAAGGCCCCTTCCCACCCAGACCATTCCATGACTCTGTCACTGTACCTGTCTGGCAGAAAATTAAAGGCTCTGTGACCTCCCATCAGCACAGCTGGGAGGAGCTCCAGCTCTCTGTGCCTTCCAGCAGCCTGCCCAGGATGCAATTCCAGCACAGAGCCTGCCCAGGATGCAATTCCAGCAGCACAGCCTGCCCAGGATGCAATTCCAGCACAGAGCCTGCCCAGGGATGCAATTCCAGCACAGAACCTGCCCAGGATGCAATTCCAGCAGCACAGAGCCTGCCCAGGATGCAAT